GCGCGCGCGCGCGCGCGCACGAGAGAGAGAGAGAGCGTGCGAGAGAGAGAGAGAGAGAGAGAGAGAGAGAGAGAGAGAGAGAGAGAGAGAGTGTTTTCCATCTATAGGATGAGCAAAATGGGAATGAATCTGTCGCTAGAACATGGAAATATGCACTGCCACATTTTCGGTCTTTGGCAGTGTAGATTTCCATGTGGTGGCAGTGGATACTTCCATGTTCTAGGGGAAGATTCAACCCCATTTTTCTCATTTCCTGAAATGTGGCAATGTCGGTCTGTGTGTGTGTGTGTAGGATGAGCAAAATCAGAATGAATCGTCAGCCAGAACATGGAAACATACTGGTCTCATGGTACTTCCATCGATACGATGATCAAAATCGAAAGAATCTACCGCTAGAACATGGTTGATTTGATTGATTGAAAAACAAAAACAAAAAAAGAGAACGGGGCGATCTTTTTTTTTTCTTTTTTCGGATCGATCAATCAATCAATGTCGACCCCTTCCCCCCCTTTCAACTCTTCCGCTCCTTCTCCCGCTCTTCCTCCTGCGCCTCCTCCGCCCGTTCCCGTTTCCCCTCACACTCCTTCCGCTCCTGACCCCCTCCCCGTTTCCCCTGTCGCTCCTCCTCCCACTCCTCCTCCCGCTCCTCCTCCCGCTCCTCCTCCCGCGCCTCCTCCGCCCCTTCCCGTTTCCCCTCCCACTCCTTCTCCCGCTCTTTCTCCCACTCATGCTCCCGCTCCTTCTCCTGCTCCTCCCATTCCTCCCCCACTCCTCCGCCAAACAACGTGACAAAGATACTGCCATAGCCCCGCTCCCGCTCCTTCTCCCACTCCTCCTCCCTCTCCTCATACCTCTCCTCCTCCCTCTCCTTCTCCTGATCCCCCTCTTGCTGCTCCTCCCGCTCCTCCTGCTGCTCCTCCTTCTCCCGCTGCTTCTCCTGCTCTTCCCCCCGTTCCTCCTCCCCCTCCTTATCCGCTCCTCTTCCCGCGCCATAGCCCCGCTCCCGCTCCTTCTCCCACTTCTCCTCCCGCTCCTTCTCCCGATCCTCCCACTCCTCCTTCTCCTCCTCCCCCTCTCACTCCTCCGCCAAAGAATGTGACAAAGATCCCTCCATAGCCCCGCTCCTGCTCCTTCTCGTGCTCCTCCTCCCTCTTCTCCTCCCTCTCCTTCCCCCGTTGTTTCTCCTGCTCTTTCCCCCGTTCCTCCTCCTGCTCCCTGTCCCGCTCCTCTCGCTTCTCCTCCTCCACCTATATCTCCTCCCGCTCCTCCGCCTCCCGCGCGTTCGTTAACCCCCTTCCCGTTTCCCCTCCCGCTCCTCCTCCCGCTCCTTCTCCGGGTCCTCCCACTCCTCCTCCTCCTCCTCCCCCTCCCGCTCCTCCTTCGCCAAAGAATGTGACAAAGATCCTGCCATAGCCCCACTCCCGCTCCTTCTCGTGCTCCTCCCTCTTATCCTCCCTCTCCTTCCCCCGCTGCTTCTCCTGCTCTTTTCCCCGTTCCTCCTCCCGCTCCTTCTCCCGCTCCTCCTCCCGCTCCTCCCGCTTCTCCTCCTCCACCTGTATCCCCTTCCGCTCCTCCGCCTCCCGCACGTTCGTTAACCCCCTCCCCGTTTCCCCTCCCGCACCTTCTAAACGAGAGTGAGAGAGAGAGAGAGAGAGAGAGAGAGAGA